CTTTTTTCCATTCCATACGAAATTGGAGATTGCCTTTTCCATCTCGTTGAAGAATGGGGTTGGTATTTGTATTGGGATTGCATTAAATGTGTAAACTGCCCATCTACATAGAAAAGCCAAATAGCTAGGAAAAGTCATATTGAAAAATAAACTCTGTATTGTTTCAATCCAACTTCATTGAAGGTCTTTCTTTTTCTCTCTTTCACTAAGCCTCCACATTTCCAAGCATGAAGTCCCTTTCAAAGGAACATTATTTCCTAGCAATATGTTCAGAATATGAGAGACTAATCTTCTCCATCTTCACCACTAAGTAATATGGTGGTTGCACTATTTCCTCTTGCTTGAATACACCATCGATACCATTGGTACCAGCAGTCAGGGGACCAGGCGTGTAGCATTGAGCAACTCCACTGTCATGGCCCTCTCCATAACACTGAGGAGCAGTGATACTAGTTTGAAAACCAAGGTGAACCTGATTTAGATCATAGTCTTTTTAATAACTTGCTATGCATCTGCAATCTAAACAATGAATAAGGATGACCGAAGAATGGATGCTTTTGAGGTATGGCTTTGATGAAGAGTAATGACTATCTTATGGACTGCCAAACGAACAAACAGATATGTGTGTGTTGAGGGGGGAGAGGAAAAAGCTATGAAAATGAGCCCCTCATACTACCCCTGACAGTTTCCTCTGTGAATATAAGTATGGCATCTTCTAGGAAATACCATGTGGTCTCCACTCAAGCCTACATTATGGGCACTGATGGTAGCCTCAGTGGAGGTTACGTAGCTGCTGCTAGAAGCTCTGAGTCACCACAAAATTACAAACTGGTTAAGGCTAAGTATGGTCTCAGGGAGCTCTGGTAACCTAGTGGGTAGGGTTTGTGCTGGCAATCCAAAGGCAGGTGTTTCTTTTTCACCAGCTACTCCACCAGAAAAAGATGAACAGTGTCTTCTCGTGTGATTTACAGTCTCTGAAAACACATTGAAGGGTCAGCCGTGAGTCGGTCCCAACTTACTGGCACATAATAATAACAACAAGAAACATTGCCTCAGGTAATAAAAATAAGCAGATGACTATGAAAATCAGTAAGTTATGTGATTCCTTCTGAGTCTTGAGAGGCAGAGATGTGTGAGATAAGTTTACACACCAGGAGATGCAAGTTGACAGTATTCACTCAAATGCAGACTATAGATGCAGGCAGCAAAATAAACTACAGGTGAAGTATCTAGGCCAAGGCTAGTTCAACTGCATCTTCAGTGCAGCCTACATGTTCTCTGGGGAATGTAGAGGACACAGAGCAAGAGGAACAGAGCTTAACTGTACCCATGACTCTTCTGAAAGTCATTTGTTTTTTCTCCTGGGGAAATGGACTGGTGTCCCTAACAGGGCGGGAAGTCACCACCCATACCCATCATCACTAATATTAAAAATCTTTACTTCCTTTAACATATGTCATCTGTGGGTAGACAAACAATTCCATACCTACCTGATTTGCAGTTGGTTTTGCAGGTAGGAAATGGCCTATTCCTGGTCAAGTCTTTCCTTCCCACCTTCCCTAGCCAGGCTCTTGATAGTGGTTTCTAGGAGAAGCCCAGCCAATCTCTCTCAAACTGGTCATAAAGTATGATGCTGGTCCAACACAAAGCTGGCCAGAAATCGAGAGTTCTCCACTCCCCAGTGGTCTTCTTGAACTAGGAGATAATTAGGTGGCCACCCTTCACTCAGATTTTCATCTTGTCACTTGTAGTTGTACTGCAAACACAAAAGTGCTATTTCCCTGGTGGTTTAAATCCCCCAGCAGCTGTGAGTGAGATATATGGGCTATCTCCTCCTGTGTGATTGCCAACCTCCAAAAACCCTCTGTAAGGTCAGCTATGAGGAGATTCTGACTCGACAGCAATGAGAACTAAGAAACGTCCAGTGTAGCACATTGGACTCCCTCACTGCATGAGGAAAGGGTCAAACTTCTAGAAAAAGAAATGAATACAGACCTGGATATAGTTCAGCTGAGGTTGAAAACAGAACCCTCTCTGCAGGGCCTATTTCCCAGTACCAGCAACCCTTGTGGAACTGAAACAGTCATATTGAGACTAGCATGCAACAGGAGAAACTTGAGGAATTGATATTCCTATCTTAATAACAGAAGAGTTCTAGTGGCCTGGTGGTAAGGAGCTGCCCTGCAAACCTGAAGACACACAGTTCAAATTCCCCTGCCGTTCAGTGGGAGAAAGATGGGCAATCTCTTCCCGTGTGATAAAACTGCTTCTGAAAACCTTCTGGAGTCATGTGTCGGTTTTGACTTGATGTTATTTTAATAACGAGGGTGGTCTGGTGGCATATTCCATAGCACATTGTGCTGCTAACCCAAAGCCTGTGCTTCCCAGCGGTTCGATTCCTCAGAAGGAAAATGGACAGTCTCCTCCTTTGTGATGTCCAGCCTTGGAAACATGTGTATGTGTGTGTGTGGGGGGGGAATCTATGAATTGTTTCCAACTAATCCACAGCAATGAAATTAACACACACGTACAAACCATACAGTGACTTCTGAATTTAACTTTTCATTTATTGTAGCCTTATTGTCCAGAACATGTATTTACTATAGCATTATTGTTAGGGATAAAAATAAGAACTATGACTCAAGCCAGCGGCAAGCTATAAAATTATTTCAGGGTTAGTCAAAAGCTGCTTGGCCAGGAGCCAGAGGGAGTTTGATTCCACTGATGGACAGCAATCATTGATGACACTGGGCAAGAACGGCAGAACTGGAAGTTATCTGGCGATAAGAGTGCAAACTGAGGACTAAACAGCTTCACGCTGACTTCACTACTTCTATACGTCAGGAGACCTGCTGACTGCGTAGCTGTGGCTAATACATACAGAGAGGCAGAGCATGAGAACAACTTTCTGAATTACTTAATTAACTTAATTAAAAAAATACTTAAAGTAACAAGCCAGACCGTTCTGTTCAACAACCCCAGATCAGATCGGGGCTCATGCTTTTCAGCCCCTCTCCTTCATGGAAACTCTGTTCTTTTATCTGTCCTTTGTCTTGGTTCTAGGGGTTGGGAGGTTCTTTGGGAGTAGGGCCGTGTGTCCTCTGGCCCATCTCTTCACTGTCCTCCCCAGCCTCTGGTGCTGGCAGGAACAAGTTGCCCAAGCCTGATGGGGTGTTCTGTAGTCGGCGGCCCAGCTCCTTCTCGTAACACTCCACCGCTTGTGATATATCTCCATTTGCCTTGTGGCTCAGTCCTTGGTGATACCAAGAATTTGGTGCCTTTAGTGAGAGGTGATTTTCAGCTGTGCTCTGCAGTTTGTCTCTCATCATTTCCTGCTCTGCAGACGTTTTGCTTCTCTGTATATCTTCCAAATACGGTTGGAGGGCAGGAACCTCAGACGTCACGTGATATTCCTGAGAGCAGCCACTCCACTGATGGGGTTGCTGCCTCTCAGCTTCCTGACTGAATGCGACCTGGTGACATTCTTTTGCCTGTCTGTATAGACCTTTTGGTGCCAGGAGTTCAGCAAGATTGGCATATGCAAAAGGACATTCTGTTTTTTTCTCGAGAGCTTTCTTAAAATAGTCTGCAGCACATTGCTTTAGTTCCTCAATTTCCCTAGTCTTGTTCGCCACTTTTTCTTCTGTAGTTTCCATTTGCTTGACTTTTTGCATATAGCAGCTCCCGATCTGGCAATAGAGGTAATTGTTGTTTGGCATGGACTCCACTGCCCTTAGATACAGTTCAATAGCTTTGTCTAGCTCACCCTTTCTTTTGTAAAATTTGGCTGCACTCTGAAGGACATCTGTCTGATGGTGTGCTTTCTGCAGGGCTTCTTCAACCAATGACTCCTTTTCACCTTCTCCCTTCATCTTCTGCAGTTTCAAGGCCAGGAGAACTTTAATATACTGATTGTTAGGATTCAGCTCAATGGCCTGCTTCAACAAATCCACAGGGAACTGCTGTTGTGGTGTCTTATCCAGCTGGTGCATTGCGATTGCCAGGCCAGAGGAAAATTCTGGGTCGTTGGGTCTTTCTTCAAGAGCCATCTCAAAACATACCTTTGCTCTTTCATGGCGATTTCCACCACACTTCAGCCAGGTCCACCCTTCCTCACTGTCAAGCTCAGGACACTCAATACTGTAAGGATTCGAAAACTTCTCACAGACCTGTTGCACTTTGTCCACATAATGCTGAGCTTCTGAGAACCTTCCCATGTGATAGTAGATCCAAGCATAGTTTCCCCAGGTGACCAGACTTCTGATTTCCACTTGGTGAGCATGCTCTTGCTGGATTAACTCTTCAGCTTGCTGTAAGCATTCCAGGGCTGCCTCATTTTGACCTTCCAGGTGTTTTATGTAGGCCAACAAATTGTACATGGTGTCTTTGAACTCAGTGTTTAAGAATTCAATCTGATTGCACACTCTGTCTTCTAAACCATCAGAGACATTGTCTTCCATGGTTAGGTTCCATGTGAAATGGCATTTCAGCTGCAGAAGGATTTTCTCCAAGGAATTCTTGGTGATTTCACTGCAGATAAAATAAAGACTGTTATGGTGATGCCATCTGCAAACATTATTTTCCTTTTATTTTTCAGACATGTCTTTCTATAGCTATTGTTGGTGCAAAAACCCATAAAGCATTGCCCTTACTTTATTTAGGCAGCAAGGTAAGATAAATGTGAAGAGGGTGGAGCAGAATCCTTCTGGTTACTGTCAGTTCTCACTCATTGTATTTTAACACTAAGTAGTCTCTCTATGTTTATGTCACCGAGCAGTCTCTCTGTGGAGGACATTATGCTGAGTGAAATATCTCAGTCACAAAAGGACAAATATTGCATAGGGCCACTGTTGTAAAATGGGATTGACATCAGGGTTGAGGGAAGACAGAAAAGGAGGGGAGGAATTATGTATATTGCATTGAAACAGATGAGGGAGAAAACTGTTTAAAAGGGATCTATGAATGGGTATTCTTGTCATTACAGAAGTCCAGAGTGAAGGCTGCATAGTGGAGTGGATTTGGGGGGAAGGGATTGCATAACAATGAGAGTTTTTCTTTCTTTTCAAGAAGAGTGAATTGGGGGAAGGGGTGGGTAGGGAGAAAAGTGCAACAATGAATGACGAAACCCTAAGTCTCTGTAAACTTTCATTAAAATTAGCTTTTAAAAAACTAAAAAAAAAACCCAAAAACCCTAAGCAAAATGAAGATTATCCCAGCCTTTCCCATCCCGTCAGGAGCTCAGAGTCAGGTTAGAAGGCGCCATGACCAGGCAAGAAATGACAGGGATGTTTACCAACATGTGATCTCATTCTTTCCCCTCATCTTGCCTGCCACCTCAGATCTGAGGTGCTGATGGCAAAACCAGGATAGATCTCCAGAAAGAATGAGTTTATTCCAGGAAATAAACAGAAAAGACAAATTTGTGCTTAGAAATAAAAAGCTATCAAGGCAGGTCACTTGCCTTAATTAGTTAACAAAGTAATTTCTGTTCTAGAAAGATGTTCCCACATCTACACTGGCCTTGTGCTTGGGGTGTGCTTTTACCAACTTTTAGTTTTTATACTCCACCTTTCTTACCAGTAAAATCCTGTCTAGGCAGATAGTAGAATTATGACTTTAGTGTGGTAAAGTAATAAAAAATCACCACAATTTGAATATAAGGCTTATATTGAACAGTTATTCAATGTACATATAGGGAGGCCATTTTTAATTTAAAAACAAAACAAAACACACCACAACAAGATAAAGGTAAATAATCCAATAGAAAAATGGGCACAGGATATGAACAGGCACTTCACCGAAGACGACATTCAGATGGCTAACA